CATGTATTTTGGTATTGCCCTGTGGCAAAGGATTTTTGGGAAGAGATTTTGTGGTTCATCACCAATATCTCTACCTCTTCCATTAACGGCTTTGGTATGTCTACTGGGGTTGGTAGGTCTGGCACCTACCAGGGTCCAAGGTACTCTGCTTAGTTTATTATTTTATGCTCGAAAGACTGTTTTTTTTTTTCCAGTGCAAGGTCAATGGTGCTATCTCTGACATTTTGGAAATGGTTAATAAAGCTATGCCGTTTTATAAAGCTACTTTTTTGAGTAGGGGGTATCCCAACAAGTTCCAGTGTCCATGTACTATTCCTGGTTTACTGGATGGTCCTGACACCCCGTAACAGACGGCAGTCTGCATATATAAACTGAGTCAATAGTTATGCAGCAACCACAGCCTTGGGCATGGACTCTCAGAGAAGATGAGGTCTTGTTACCCTTCATGGGGACCCCTTAGGGGGCTCCTGCATCATATGTTGTGTATCTCATGGGAATGTTGCCTAGATTGGGAGGGGGGTGGGGAGTTTATACACGGGCCTCTGTAACTAATTGTATTGTTGTATTCTTTTTTTGTGTTTTTTTTATAGCAATGAGGCATGTCTGGATATGTGGGGTAGTTTTTGTTTTACTTTTGTTTTTTCATGGCTGATGTAATGTCATTTTCTATTGAACAGAACTAATACAAAGAAATTTACAAAAAAAAAAAAAGACTACTACTAAAACAGATAAAATTTATATCGACATTGAGGCTCTTAGGAACCAGTGTATTGGCGTTTGTGTGTATATATATATATATATATATATATATATATATATATATATATATATATATATATATATCACACACATACATACATACACACACACACCATTTCCTATCTGCTAGTTCTCTCTACCACTTTCCTCCTCCACTTCAATCTCTATGAATTTTCCAATGTCCCAAAATTGGAGACCTCTTGGGTCCCTATTAAGAAGCGTGAGCAATTTTTAAATAAACTGTGTCCTTTATACATTTTCTTTATTAATATATATATTTTATTGTATACACTATATTGCCAAAAGTATTGGGACACCCCTCCAAATCACTGAATTTAGTGTGTTCCAATCATCTCCATGGCCACAGGTGTATAAAATCAAGCACCTAGGCATGCAGACTGCTTCTACAAACATTTGTGAAATAATTGGGCGCTCTCAGGAGCACAGTGAATTCAAGAGTGGTACCGTGACAGGTTGCCACCTATGCAATAAGTCTATCCGTGAAATTTCCTTGCTACTATATATTCCACGGTCAACTGTTAGTGGTATCAAAGTAACAAAGTGGAAGCAACTGGGAAAAGCAGCAACTCAGCCATGAAGTGGGAGGCCACGTAAAAGGAGTGGAATCAGTGCATTCTGAAGCACACAGAAGATGCCAATTGTCTGCAGAGTCCATAGCTAAAGACCTCCAAACTTCGTGTGGCCTTCAATTAGCCCCAACAGTGTGTAGAGAGCTTCATCGAATGGGTTTCCATGGCCGAGCAGCTGCATCCAAGCCTTACATAACCAAGTGCAAAACAAAGCATTGGATGCAGTGTTGTAAAGCACGCCACCACTGGACTCTAGAGCAGTGAAGATGTGTTCTCTGGAGTGACAAATCACACTACTCTGTCTGGGGATCCGATGGGCGTGGCTGGGTTTGGCAGTTGCCAGGAGAATGGTACTTGCCTGACTGCATTGTGCCAAGTGTAAAGTTTGGTGGGAGGGAGGATCATGGTGTGCGGTTGTATTTCAGGGGCTGGGCTTGGCCCCGTAGTTACAGTGAAGGGAACTCTTAAGGAATCAGCATACCAACACATTTTGGACAATTTGCTCCCAACTCTGTGGGAACAGTTTGGGGATGGACCCTTCATGTTTCAACATGACTGCACACCAGTGCACAAGAAACATCCATAAAGACATGGATATGCGAGTTTGGGATGGGGGAACTTGGCGGGCCTGCAGAGTCCTCACCTTAACCCAATAAAACACCTTTGGATGAATTAGAGCAGACACTGCGAGCCAGGCCTTCTCGTCCGACATAAGTGCCTGACCTCACAAAAACGCTTCTGAAAGAATGGTCAAAAATTCCCATAGACACAATACTAAATCTTGTGGACAGCCTTCCCAGAAGAGTTGAAGCTGTTATAGCTGATAAGAGACGGTCAACTCAATATTGAATCCTATGGACTAAGACTCGGATGCCATTAAAGTTCATGTGCATGTAAAGGCATGTGTCCCAATACTTTTGGCAATATAGTGTATATGTGTGTATATATATATATATATATATATATATATATATAATACCATATATATATACATATATATATTATATATATATATAATATATATACATATATATATAATACAACACAAACACATACATACACACATATATATATATATATATATATATACACACACACACACACACACTCACATACATATACACACACATATATACACAACATATACACACAGTGAATATAAAAAGTCTACACACCCCTGTTAAAATGTCAGGTTTCTGTGATGTACAAAAAAACGAGACAAAGATAAATCATTTCAGAACTTTTTCCACCTTCAATGTGACTTATAAAACTGTACAACTAGATTAAAAAACAAACAAATCTTTTATGGGGGGGGGGAGTAAACATAAAAAAACTAAAATGATTTATCTTTGTTTAATTTTTTTTTTACATCACAGAAACCTGACATTTTAGTGGTGTGTAGACTTTTTATATCCACTGTGTGTATATATCTATCTTCACACACATATTATATATATATATATATATATATATATATATTTCTACACACACACACACACATACACACACACACATATGTTAATATACACACCCTCAGATGTTTTCTTAAGGTTTTTTTTTTTTATTTTGTTTTCTAACAATTCTTCCTACCTGCTTATATTGGATGTTAAAGTGCAGCTCCATTGTTAATAATCCATTGGTGTCTTTCTTTTCATCCTTTTATTTGCCAAAATAACCTCCCTAGCCAGCATAGAAAGAATATTCCTCCTCCATTTATGAAATTCTTAGAATAACCTTTATGCATAAACCTACCTTTAAGAATCAATGATTGATGGAGAAAATCTGTTTCATTAGTGCAATTTTTTTTATCCTAAGGAACAGACCCCTCAGAACATTATATAGCCAGGGCAGATAATGGAAGCTTAACAAAAAGGGATGGAACTGGTTTTTATCAGTTTCTTAAAAAAAACAAAAAAAACTTAATTGCGATTCAGCATCCAAGAAAGTAATATTAGAAGGATGGTACTGATAAGTCAATTTCATAAATTGTTTTCATTAATATTTAGATCCACTAAAAAGTTTTTCAAAAACATCACAATGAAGTGCTTGTAATTCATTCTCTTGGACAAAATCTTTTCAGTCTCCTACTTTGCCACAAAGGCATTCCCTACACTAGGGGAAAAATTTGGCACCCAAAGAAATACCTGTAATTAGTGATAGGCTGAACTCCCAACCCTAACAAAAGCTCGGCTGCAAACTTCAAACTGGGACAATTCACCAAGCAGTATCTTACCGCATGGTAAGATACCACACAGCTACTAAAATATTGCATGAGTTATATTATTAAGTCATGTGGTATTTTAGTAGTGAAAACATTCTTTAAATGTTTCAGCTGTCAGCGGGGTTCCCCATTGACAGCTGAATGTAAAAAGAATTGCCAGCAATTCCTTTTTTTTTTTTAATGCTGTTGGGGCTCCAGCCATACCAAGTCCTTTGGGTGTGGTATGGGTTTTGAGGGGAACCCCAACGCCAACATTTTTTTAAAAATGGCATGGGGGGCCCACATCCAAGCATGCAGCCCAGCAGATCAGGAAAGGGAGGGGGGACAAGCGAGTGAGCACCCCCCCCCCCCCGAAACCACACAAGGCAACATGGGCTGAATATGAGGGGGTGCTCTGGGGCATGGGGATCTTCCTCCGCTCCCAAAGCACCTTGTCCAAATGTTGATGGGGACAAGGGCCTCTTCCTCACAAACTGTGGCCTGTGGTTGTGGGGGTCTGCAGGTGGAGGGCTTATCGGAATCTGGAATCCCCCTTTAATAAGGGGGCCCCCAGACCCTGACCTCCCCTCCCCATGTGAATGAGTATGGGGTACATGGCAGCGCTACTCATTCACAAAAAAAAGTGTAGTGTAAAAAATGACAGGAGACAGTCTTTGACAAGTCCTTTATTAACCACTTGCCTACCAGGCACTTATACCCCCTTATTTACCAGGCCAATTTTCAGCTTTCAGCGCTGCCGCACTTTGATTGACAATTGCGCGGTCATGCAACATTGTACCCATATGAAATTTTGATCATTTTTTTCTCACAAATAGAGCTTTCTTTTGGTGGTATTTAATCGCCACTGGGCGCTTTACTTTTTGCGCTATAAATACAAAAAGTGCAAAAAATTTGAGAAAAAAAAAAAAGTTTCTTTGTTTCTATTATAAAATTTTTCAAACAGGTAATTTTTCTCCTTCGCTGATGTGCGTTGATGAGGCAGCACTGATGGGCACTGATAGGCGGCACTGATAGGCAGCACTAAAGGGCACTGATAGGCAGTACTAATGAGGTGGCACGGATAGGCGGCACTAATATGCAGCACTGATAGGCGGCACTGATAGGTGACACTGATGATGGGTACTGATAGACGGCACTGACTGGCACAACCCCTGGGCACTGACTGGCAGCACTGGTGGGTGGGCACAGGTGGGTGGCACTGCTGGGCACAGGTGGGTGGCACTTCTGGGCACAGGTGTGTGACACTGCAGAGTGGCACAGGTGGGTGCACTGCTGGGCACAGGTGGGTGCACTGCTGGGCACAGGTGGGCGGAGCTAGTGGGCGCACTGCTGGGCACAGGTGGGCGGATCTTGTGGGTGGCACTGCTGGGCACCGATCATCAGGGCACTGATCATCAGTGCCCTGATGATCGGTGCCGATCCCCACTCTGACAACTGCCGGTTCTCGGCAGTACTTTCCTCACGATCTGACATCGTGAGGAAAGTGCAGCGGAGAACCGGCACTTGCATTTTCCTCTGATCAGCGTGTCATTGGACACCGCTGATCACGTGGTAAAAGACCGCTGTGATTGGCCTTTTACCACATCACGTGATCAGCTGTGTCCGTAGGACACAGCGATCACGGAGATCGCTGGGTGCGCACCCCAGGAGAGCGCGTTCTGGGAGGACGTCATATGACGTCCACCCAGAACTGGCCGGCCGCAGTGCCGCCGTCATTCGGCTATCTGCGGTCGGCAGCTAGTTAAACACAAAAATAAAGAAAATGCCTCCCAAAGTAGATCTAACGTCAATCACAATGCCCGCTGCCACCACCGACCCAAATAAAGGAAACAAAAAAAAATGCTCTGCTCCCGATGCTGGCTCCCGCCGTCTGACAATTCTTAAATATTGGAATGATATCACAAAGGGTCGGGGTCACCCTGTTGATGTCACCGGGCTGCCCTGCCCCCTTGTGACGTCATCATGCGGTGTGCTTGGCCAAAGTATTGTATTTGACCTGCTTTGGCCAATCACAACGCACTACCAAGGCACAGTGGGCAATTAGCCCACCAGACACCCTTACTGTTCATGTGTCCGTCGAACACATCAACGACCGATGTTCAAGCTGAATTTCAAAGCCTTCAGAACGTAATCTGTCTACATATCCTCCTATTCTCCTGTCCAATGTAACAACCATTTAACTGATGATAAAGCTTCTAGGCGATTAATGATTTTATATATTAAGTTCACATCTTCTGTGACCAATAAACAACTAGTATCAAATGTGATGTCCCTCAATATTTTTAGCAGATATGCTGTATGTTTTACAAGTGGTCTGCTTTATTCAAAACCATAATTCCTCCTAATCATTATGTCTTTTTCCCCCAGTTATAGTTCGGCCATTTATATTTGGACACAGGCACAATTTTAGTTTTTTTTCAGGTATTTACCAAAACATATTCAAGCTATAGGTATATAATGTATATGGACTGAAAGTGCACACTCTCAGGTTTAGTTTGACAGTATGTACAACCAAATTTGAGGAAGGGTTTAGGAATTACAGCTCCTCCTTTTTCAAGGGACCAAACGTAATTTGACAATTGAATCAAAAGCTGTTTCATGGCCAGGTGCGGGCTACTCCTTTGTTATTTCTTCATCAATTAAGCAGTTAAAAGGTCTGGAGTTGAGTCTAAGTGTGGTATTTGCATTTGGAATCTATTGCTGTCAACCTACATCATGTGTTCAAAGGAGCTGCAACATTAGGAGTGGCCAAACCAATAGTTTGGTACATTCTGAGGAAAGAAGAATGCACTGGTGAGCTCAGCAACATAAAAAGGCATGGACGTCCACGGAAGACAACAGTGGTGGATGATTGCAGGATCCTCTCTATGGTAAAGAAAAACGCATTCACAACATCCAGACAAGTGAAGGACACTCTCCAGGAGGTGGGCGTATCATTGTCAAAGTCTACAATCAAGAGGAGACTTCACAAGAGCAAATACCGAGGGTTCACCACAAGGTGCAAACCAATCAGATTCAGACAAATGCAGCAAAGTTGATTGGATGGCGCTTCACAGTACAGATGGACAATGATACAAAACACATTAATTTAATTAAAGCTGAAAGTCTACACATCAAATTCATTTGGATTGTTTCATTTGAAATTTATTCTGGTGGCATACAGAGCCATAAGTATAAAAATTGTGCCTGTGTTCAAATATATATGGACCTAACTGTATATACACACACAACCCCAATTCCAAAAAGTTGGGATGCAGCGTAAAGTCTACAAACAGAATGCAATTATTTTATTCAGAAAGTAAAAAACACTAAAAATGTTTAAACTGTGAAATGTACCATTTTAAAAAAAAAGAATAAGGTAATTGTGAAGTTGATGGCAGCAACAAATCTCCTAAAGGTTAGGACAGTGCAACGAAAAGTAAGTGGTACTAAGAAGAACATTTTGCAACTAATTAGGACAATTGGCAACAGGTCAGTTACATAATTGGATATAAAAAGGGCATCTTAGAGTCAGAGCATGTCAGAAGTAAAGATGGGCAGCAGTTCACCAATCTGTAAAAATCTGCATCTAAAAATTGTCGAACAATTTCAGAATAAATGTTCAACAATAAACTGCAAAGACTTTAAGCCCTGTGATTCGCAACTGTTCCTGAAACTGCCCGCAGCCAAATTGTGCTGCTCTGAAGACCAGGGTACCAGGTGAACCAGGGCATAATCTACAGGTGAAACTAAAAAAATTAGAATATCGTGCAAAAGTTCATTTATTTCAGTAATGCAACTTAAAAGGTGAAACTAATATATGAGATAGACTCATTACATGCAAAGCAAGATAGTTCAAGTCGTGATTTGTCATAAGTGTGATGATTATGGCTTACAGCTCATGAAAACCCCAAATCCACAATCTCAGAAAAGTAGAATATTACATGCAATCAATAAAACAAGGGTTGTACATAGAACAATATCTGACCTCTGAAAGTATAAGCATGCATATGTACTCAGTACTTGGTTTGGGCCCCTTTTGCAGCAATTACTGCCTCAATGCGGCGTGGCATGGAAGCTATCAGCCTGTGGCACTGCTGAGGTGTTATGGAAGACCAGGATGCTTCAATAGCGGCCTTCAGCTCATCTGCATTGTTCGGTCTCATGTCTCTCTTGGCAATGCCCCATAGATTCTCTATGGGGTTCGGGTCAGGTGAGTTTGCTGGCCAATCAAGCACAGTAATACCACGGTCATGGAACCAGGTTTTGGTGCTTTTGGCAGTGTGGACAGGTGCCATGTCCTGCTGGAAAATGAAGTCAGAATCCCCATAAAGCTCGTCTGCGGAAAGAAGCATGAAGTGCTCCAAAATCTCCTGGTAGACGGCTGAGTTGACCCTGGACTTAATGAAGCACAGTGGACCAACAACAGCAGATGACATGGCTCCCCAAATTAACACAGACTGTGGAAACTTCACACTGGAATTCAAGTACTGGCATCTTGAAGTGTGTGCCTCTCCATTCTTCCTCCATACTCTGGGTCCTTGGTTTCCAAATGAGATGCAAAAGTTGCTCTAATCAGAAAAGAGGACTTTGGACCACTGAGCAACAGACCAGGTCTGCTTTTCTTTAGCCCAGGTAAGACGCTTCTGACGTTGTTTGTTGTTCAGGAGCGGCTTGACAAGAGGAATAAGACATTTGAAGCCCATGTCCAAGATCTGTCTGTGTGTGGTGGCTCTTGATGCACTGACTCCAGCCTCAGTCCACTCCTTGTGAAAGTCCCCAACACTTTTGAATGGCCTTTTCCTGACAATCCTCTCCAGGCTGTGGTCATCCCTGCTGCTTGTGCACCTTTTTCTTTCACACTTTTCCCTTCCACATAACTTTCTATTAATGTGCTTTGATACAGCCCTTTGGGAACATCCAACTTCTTTTGCAATTACCTTTTGAGGCTTTCCCTCCTTATGGAGGGTGTTAATGATGCTTTTCTGCACAACTGTCAGGTCAGCAGTCTTTCCCATGATTGTGATTCCTACTGAACCAGACTGAGAGACCATTTAAAGGCTCAGGAACCATTTGCAGGTGCTATGGCTTAATTAGCTGATTAGAGTGGGACACTGAGTCTAGAATATTGCACCTTTTCACAATATTCTAATTTTCTGAGATTGTGGATTTGGGGTTTTCATGAGCTGTAAGCCATAATCATCACAATTTGACAAATCACAGCTTGAACTATCTTGCTTTGCATGTAATGAGTCTATCTCATATATTAGTTTCACCTTTTAAGTTGCATTACTGAAATAAATGAACATTTGCTCGATATTCTAATTTTTTGAGTTTCACCTGTATAGTACATACCTTCAAAATATTCCTAGAATCTGGAGAAATCTGTGTGCAAGGGACAAAGCCGAAACACAATATTGTTTGCCCATGATCTTTGAGCTCTCAGCCCAAAAATGCAAGATAGAAGCCATATCCAAACATGATCCAGAAAAACACCCTATCTTCTCTAGGCCAAGGCTCATTTGAAATGGTCTGTTGCAAAGTGGAAAACTGTTCTGTGGTCAGATGAACAAAAATTTGACATTCTTTTTGGCAACCATGGACACCACATCCTCCAGAATAAAAGGAGAGAGTGACATTCTGGCTTGTTATCAGCGCTCAGTTCCAAAGCCTCTGATGGAATTGAGGTTGTAATTTTCCAGTTAATTGTTGCCCTGTCCCAACTTTTTTTGGAATTGAGGTTGTAATTTGCCAGGTATTTGTTGCCCTGTCCCAGCTTTTTTGAGACGTGTTGCTGCCATAAATTTAAAAAATTACCTTTTTTTTCTTAAATTAGTACATTTTCTCCATTTAAATATTTGACATGTTTTCTATTTTCTATTTTCGATTGTGAATAAAATATGGGTTTATGAGATTTTAAAATCATTGCGATCTGTTCTTAGTTATATTTTACAGTGTCCCAATGTTTTGGAATTGGGGTTGTACAATATAGATACCTGGCGTGGAAGCAACAGCGACCCTGTGGTGAAAGGGTCACTATAAACACAAGCAAGTTTATATAGAAAATGGACAGACTGTCTGTGTTCATGGACATATGTCTGTTTGCATGCACTTTACGCAAGTAGCAGCACATATCTATGAAAGCTACCTACAACCATTCTATGGCCAGCTGTAGGAGCTCCATAACCTATGTTGATACCCCCTGTCTGACCAAACTCAGAAAAGAGTTGATAATTCATGATGATTCTTTCCAGTCTATTGTATTGTTACCCAGAATAAAAGTTCAATAATTGTTGACCTTCATTGTTATGTCTACAGGCCACATTCACATTATAATGCATGTTGCCTAAGCATACAATAATGTGGGGTGCATGCAAGATAGGATGCACTGCCATTTACTTTTAATGACACTACAGAGAGGACACATCGTGTGAGATTAGGAGAGATTTACTAAAACTGGAGCACTCAGAATCTGGTGCAGCTGTGCATGGTAACCAATTCGCTTCTAACCTCTGCTTGTTCAATTAACCCCTTCACACCTAAGGGTAAAACAAATCTTAATGCCCAAGCACAATTTTGTAACTTTGACATGTGTTAGTAAACCCGTACATATCATCACAACTACTTTGTGTATCCAGATAAATTACATCTTGTTTTTCAGGACAAACTGCGCTTTCATTTGGTGGTAAATGGTTATGGATAGCTCATGATTTTTTTTTCAAAGGAAACTCCAAAATAATAAAAAAATAATTTGTTTAAATCTAGCTGTATATTTATTGTTACTGCCATAACCTCCCACCAAAGAACCCAAAATAAATTCTCCTGCTTCTTGCGATCACAACAATGCCACATAAGTGTATGGTATTTGTTGTTTGTACCCATTGGACAGCCCAAAAACAATAGTGCGCATTTTGCTTTTTTTTTGTTCTACCTAACACCACACAGACTGACACTGATACCAATTTAAAAACCAATCCTGCTGAAAATATACTGACCCTGACCGTTGACCCAAACACTAAAAACTTTTTTAGTGTTTTTTTCTTTTAATATTTATTTATTTTACACACTGTTGGATTTTTTTTTTTATCTCTGAAGAGAGAGAGAGAGAGAGAGAGAGAGAGAGATTCAATGCATCTCTCTACTCCATTCAGAGAGAGAAAACACAGATGCGCTATCACAGTCACTCTGATAGCCAATCAGAGGTTATCACAGCAATCAGGTGACCTGGAATCAGGAGTTCCGGGTCCTGATCGTTAGTACGGGACCCGGGGCTAACTGTGAGACCCCAGTCTCTGTGCTAGGATGCGTTCCCATGGCAAAAAGCCCAGTCCAGTGGGGCCGCATATTTGTGAGATCGGCGTCAAGGGGTTAAGCTTTGGTAATGAAACCTGTATGCTGATTGGTTTCTGTATATATCTGGACCGGATTTTGCACTCTCCAACAATAAATAACCCCTAAGCTTCAAATGGAGAAGTTTCTGAGAACGCAGTTCACTCAACAAAGTCCGTTCTAGAGATTTTGCCAGCTTTTATTCATTCAAGATATAGAAGTAATATAGGGTTCTACACTTGCAGGGCCTATTCATTACAATAATGAACACAAATGTTTTTCAACCTCCTGCCTAACACCTACCAGTCTACCCCCTTGGAATGCCTGCTCTTCTTGCACAGGGAACTTTTTTTTTTCATGCCTGTGATACTGGGAGGGAATGCCTAACTATTTTCATATCCTAGAAACAAGGAAGGATGAAGGGATTGCTAACAGGGAGTTTTTTCAGCCAGGCTTCTAGAAGGCCACAAACAGCCTACTGGTATGACAATACAAATAATGAGCAATTTACAAAGCTGCATAGCATTTTAATATCTACTGGGGGCCCTTGACTGCATAGGTTATTTTCTGCAAAGGTGAACTTGGCCTTTACCTAATTCCCACTGTCTATATACATATACTGTAGGTGGCAGCACAGACAGGGCCTTATGCAAAGCTTCCACATATATGCATATCTGTTTGTACTGGAACCCCAGCATAGAACCAAGCTGTCACCGACAACTCCTAGTCCCAGAGTAACAATGGGAAGCCAGGATGGCAAGCGTCCGCTCACGAAATTAATATAATGGGGAGAATTAACATTGGTATAAGTGTCAAAATGAATGTGAAGAAAAGACACTGCAATGGTGCGCACCAAATAAACAAATAAGCCTATCTGATAACACAGGTGCACCTTCTGTGCCTGGGGGGGGGGGGGGGGGGGGGGGACAGTGCTGGGTCACTGAAGTGGTAAGTGTCCTTTCATTAAAAGTCATAAGCTATGGTATTTGTAGCTGACAACCTAATTTTTAAAAAAGTAACAAATCTTTACGTAATTTGATCAGTGCCCAGTTTCTAAAAGTGTTGCATCATTAGCTCCAGCTTTAATAGCCATGCTATTTTCCCTGTGTTTTGTCTAGTAGACTTAATTTCACTCCCCTTGTGTTTCCAAAAATGTGGGACATCCTTCAAGCTAACATGGTGTAATAGTGTAGTGCAGGGCCTACCTACCCCATCTATACATGGTACTATACCTCCCAGAGTTTCTGCCACTGCTTTTGCTGAGAAGCAATCAGCCATGTCACTGTATCTGCAAGCCCCGTCTATTATATCAAACTGATATATTCATTAAACATCTTCCTGCTTGCCTTCTATCAGATTATCTAGAACCTGAGATGCATTTTAGCTTTTACCATCATTAGAAAACACAACCATGTGCAACCAGTCATGACATGATGACTCATCTGTTATTAGAAACACCAGCACCATTTGACACTAAAAAGGTAGAATGCCAACTTCCCCCTAAATAGCCCTAAAACTGCCCCCCACCCCCATATGATACGGCTCTCCTGAGTCAGCAGCTTCAGGGAAGAGAAGGAAGCACCAACAACAGATGGTCCACTGAAGCCTATGGGTGACATCACTGTTCCAGGCTTTGTTAACCGTTGTTGGAGCGGTCTCTCCACTCCCCTGTAGCCACCGTTAGCTAACACAGAGGAGATCACATGACCAAACCAGAGCGACCTAAAGTATATACATCTTTCTTACACAGATGAGTTAGTAAGGGGACAGTTTTCAGGCTAGTTAGGGGGATGCTGGAATTCAACTTTAACATAGCAACTCAGGTCTCTATCCAGAGAACCCTTCCGACACAATTTGCCAGTCTGCAGGTTTAGCACCTACCACTTCCTCCTGCATTTTAGGATCTATAGGTTTTACAACAAATACCCACTTTTGGTCAGTGGGCCCCAAAACTCTTCATTTACACTTGTGCACACTGGTATTTTTGCAAATACTTCTTTATTTAGCAACATGGACTCCTTTCTACCTCCTTGGGTTGCCAACACGACTTCAGCTACTTTTCAGTAATTTGTCAGCCTTTGAGTAATGAGAGTTGTTTGCTGCCACAGCGGGGGTGACCTTGACTGCAAGCTGCAGAAGAACCACAAAATTCAATAGCAGTTGCGTTCCACTGTTGCACAGCGTGGCTTCAGACATCTCTGCTTTCTGAGGACTTGTGCACCAGTCCTCTAAGTTACATTTCATTCACCAAGTCAACCAAAAACAGCTAAGCTGGGACTGTGGGACCTCTTTTGTTGTCATTAACACATAATTTGTGCCAAACAGTCTCAGTCTTACAAACCTTTGTTCATTTCAGCCTTAAAATGCATTGTTCCAAATGCTGGTACTTCACGGTGCTATCAAAATGGGAGACAGAGAAGTATATAGGTGCCTAACATTCAATAGGTTACATATTTCTTTTAACTACTTGCCAACCGCAGATAGCCAAATGATGGCTACAATGCGGCCGGCCAGTTCTGGGAGGGCATCATATGACATCCTCCCAGAAAGTGCTCTCCTGCGCGCTCCTGCTGATCTCCGTGATCGCTGTGTCCTACGGACACAGCTGATCACGTGATGTGGTGAAAGGCCAATCACAGCGGCCTTTTACCACATGATCAGCCGTGTCCAATGACACGCTGATCACCGGGAAATGCAATTGCCGGTTCTCGGCTGCACTTTCCTCACGCTGTCAGAGCGTGACAAAAGTACTGCCGAGAACCGGCAGTTGTCAGAGCAGGGATCGGCACCGATCATTCAGAGACTGATGATCAGTGCCCTGATGATCGGTGCCCACCAGTTCCGCCCACCTGTGCCCAGCAGTGCACCCATCTGTGCCACCCAGCAATGCCACCCACCTGTGCCCAGCAGTGCCACCCACCGGTGCCCACCCACCTGTGCCCATTACTGCAGCCCAGCAGTGCTGCCAGTCAGTGCCCAGCGGTTGTGCCAGTCAGTGCCCAGCAGTTGTGCCAGTCAGTGCCCAGCATTGTGCCACTCAATGCCTAGCAGTGCCGCCAGTCAGTGCCACCTATCAGTGCTGTCTATCAGTGCCGCCTATCCGTGCCACCTCATTAGTACTGCCTATCAGTGCCACCTACCAGTGCTGCCTACCAGTGCCGCCTCATCAACGCACATCAGTGAAGGAGAAAAATTACCTGTTTGAAAAATGTTATAATAGAAACAAAGAAACTTTTTTTTTTCAAATTTTTTGCACTTTTTTTGTTTATAGCGCAAAAAGTGAAGTGCCCAGCGACGATTAAATACCACCAAAAGAAAGCTCTATTTATGAGAAAAAAATGATAAAAATTTAATATGGGTACAATCTTGCATGACCGCGCAATTGTCAAAGTGCGACAACGCTGAAAGCTGAAAATTGGCCTGGTAAAGAAGGGGGTATAAGTGCCCGGTAGGCAAGTGGTTAATAATTCTGTCATTAAGGGAAACCCAGAATCTAAAATCAAGATAATCTTTGGGATCTTTTGGTGGTCTACACCTAGAGGATGTGTTTCTTAAAGGGCCCTCCACAGAGCTGAAGATAATGTCACCTATAATGGACATAGGTGTCCGTTTATGACACAGAGAATAGCTGCGATTCAACAGATCTCAGCTATTCTCTGGTCATTCACAGTTTATGACACTCAGGAGATCATGTCAGCCCTTCTCTGGAGATCTGTGTTCTCCCTCCAGATTCTCCAGCTCAGAGCTGGAGAATCAGAGAGACCGAAAACTAAGCAGAGATAATTTACCTCTGCTTAGTAAACTGATCTTTTACTGTAATCTCGAGAGATTATAGTAAAATGAGCCGTTTTCCAGAGTTTGTAGACCGTTCTCCAGCGTTTGGAGATCGTTCTCCCTTCGTTCGGAGAACTGCTTCATAAACTGCATTCACAGGAGAACTGTGTTCTCCGAGAATGCCGGAGAACTGAGCAGCGATCTATTACCCCTGGTTCACAAACGGACACCATAGTAGCCCTGTGCTCTCTTATAATGTTACTATGTGCCTTTTCCACCATTACTTTAAATTCAGAGACAATAAGCTGCTACACAAGTCAGTGCACAACCCCTGGGCACTGACTGGTGGCACAGATACGAAGGTCTTGGTCTACCTGACATGGCTCCATACTACAAAGTTATGACATTGGTTCACATCCTGAATTTGCACCATAAACCAAAAGATACATTATGCGTCAAGCTAGAAAAAACGCAGCAGGATGTAACAAGACAGGTGCCCCATGAATTCCAGCAGCACACCATGGTCTATCAAATTGGACTTCACCTATCACATTAGCAACCTTAAAAGCTTGGGACAAGTTACATAATAAAAGGGGAGACAGTTCAAAGGACTCCACTCTTAGCTCCATTCGGTGGGTTCTCTAGTTTTGAACATGGAGAAGATATGACTTTTTCCAAATATGGGGGATAGATAGGAACACTAAATGTTTTAATTTTGTCCCCGTGGGGTAAATGGTACCTCTGGAAACTGGATTTTTGGATATAAAGACATTTACAAGACTTTCTGCAAAACACTGGCACCTAAACTGCAACCAGTGTATGATTTAACAACTTTCAAATCTATGTGTGCTAAGGACCTAGGTACAAAGGCATCTCCTTTGACAATTGTATAAACTCTTACTCAGTGCACAACAGAACAGATCCCAATGGGAGAGAACTGGACATCGAGCTCACACCAAACCAACTACAAAAAAAGATACGCCTTTCTCATGTCTCATCAGTACAAAAACAAGAGAGTCATGTTATAAATTCTTCTTTAGATGGTATGAAACCCCCTCTTGTTCGGCAAAGATTTTCCCAGACACAAACTTGAGGTGTTGGAGAGGCTGTATGCAAGAAGGTGCATTCCTCCACATATGGGAGGACATGCCCCAAGATTAAATAATAGTGGGATTCTATCTCACCAAGGATCTAGAACACTTCTCTTACAGCAATCAGACATACTCCCCTACAATACTTCTTCCATGATATACCCTCCTCCATCAAATCCTATACAAATAGTGTGACTACACACTTATTAAATGCAGCAAAAAGCTTAATACCTAGATGTACAACTATTTTAGATTGGAAAAAAAAAGAGGTTGATAACATCATGGAAGAGGAGAGGTGGATTTACACATTCAAAAACAAACAACAGCAATTGTGACATATATGGACAGCCTGGATGTACTATTCCTATGAGATTAAAGACTGAAGCTATTAGCTTTATTCACGATAAGGATGGCTGACTCACTTATTACTTGATACGTATAAAAAGTACACCCTGATCTAGTACCTCACTGTATACTATGGCTATATGATATTGGTTTCTTTATGAACATAACTTGCATCTAGAAAACACTCCTTCAGGTTTTTTTTTTTCTTCTCTACGGTATTATTGTTCTATCAAATTTGCATTTTCTTGCATTTATTTCTCAGTTTTCACAGTGATAATAATAACAACGGTGGAGCGTTGTACTTTATTTAAAAGAACCTATATGATTTCAACAATATATTTGACATTTTGACACTTGATGTTAACTGAAATCCACGTTTGTGAACTTGCTTTGTAAATCAATAAAAAACTGATTATACAAAAAAAAAAACACGGCAGAATTTTAGGTATCCTCTGCAACAAAAATGTCCGTTTTGGTGAGATACTCCAAAAGGGTTCATCACTTCTAAAAGGATTTAGATTCTGCAACTTTCCTTATTTCTTTACTTCAAGTGCATCATCTGATTAATAATGAAAAAAAGTCACTCCCATTCAGATTCACTTTGCACATTGACACAACCAATGAGCCATTCCTTTATAGCAGAAACAGATAGGATTCTGCAACAAAGGTTATTAAAATCCTTGCAATGTACACAGATCACTCGGGGGATTGTTCTTTTTTTTTCTGAACAAAAGTGGAATCACTATTTAAATGCAGAAAGCAGCCACCATTCAAGAAAAAAAAAAAAAAAAAAAAAAAAAAAAAAAAAAAGCTTTAAATCACCCCCAATGTGCTTCATCACCACAACGTTGGCAATAAATAGGACAAGTGGTACCTTGTGATGATCAAGAAATACATAAGACACTTTTTAAGCTAGTGCATGTCCATTGAGGACTGTGAAAAGTAAAAGGGCTTGTTCAACACAACCTGCATCAGGGTTTAAAAAAAAAAAAAAAAAAAAATGCACGTCAAGCAGCCCAGAATGGGCTCTACAGGAAATCTGTACTAAGACTCACTGCTGACCTCTTTTAGAATATATGCAGATTGAGAAAGGAGTGAATTAAAAAGGTTTACACCTGCATGCTTGTTCTGGGATCTACTAAAGCCCCTGGACTAAATCAACAGTCTGGCAACTAAAACAGTTTTCAGTTTTTGAGTAAGACAACAAGCTTGTTAAGACAGCTCAGTTGTTGCCACCATAGATAGTATATATAAATTGTATTTGTACCTAAAAAATATGGTACTTTGTATTCAGCACTTAGAATGTTAACATAAAAAAAACTTATAAAAAAAAATGTATAAGTGTTATTATATACAAATCATAAATGTATAAGCCCCCTAGGGCAGGGTTAGGCAACCCACACCATGGGTGCCACAAGTGGCAGGCAAAGCCAATTTTGCCGGCACACAACTCCTATCAGCAGAGCAGTGCAGGGAAGTGTCAGTGAGACAGCTTCTGCCACACTAATGCAATCCAATCTTAGAACTTCCAGCTCCGCAGCTGCACTGAGGGGGAGGCACAATGCCCCCGCACATTGTACAAGATGAGAAACATTGTTTCTCTAACTTTGCTGAAGCTGCGGTCGTCAGCTCTTGTGATGGGGAAGACAATGGGTGCAGTTCTGGCATGGGGGGTGTGGTCCCCGTTTCCAGGAGAATGACTATGATTGGCCACTGCTAAAAGCCAAATCACAGTCCTGCTAGCCCAACCCACCATCTGGAGGAAGATGACTAACTTGGTTGCCACTACCAATCTCAGAAAGAAGGGATTTCATTGTGATTGAGAAAACAGCAATCAGTTGACAATTTGTGGAAGGACTGTCGAGAAATTTACAGGCACATAGGCATGGATGAGCGAGTTTGGGGTGGAAGAACTTGACTGGCCTACACAAAGTCATGATCTTAACCCGACAGAACACCTTTGAGATGAATTAGAGCGGAGACTGCAAGCCAGGCCTTCTCGTCCGACATCAGTGCCTGACCTCACAATCGTGCTTCTGGAAGATTGGTCAAACATTCCTATAGACACACTCCTGAACCTTGTGGACAGCATTCCCAGCAGGGATGAGTTTGCCAGGACAGGTAGCTATGTCTCATCTCTGCTTCCTTGCATCGCTCTGCATATCGCATATATCATAGATGAAGAGGGTACAGTGATAGGCAGATGAGTAGGTGGGTTCCACAGTGGGACAGATGCTAAGGGGGTTCAGCAATGAAGCAGATGTGCAGGGGGTACAGTGGTGGATGAGATGAGAAGGGGGTTCAGCTGTGGGACAGATGTGCAGGGAGTACAGTGATGGGAGAGATGAGAAGGGGGTTCAGCAGTGGGACAGAAGAGGTACAGCGGTGGAGCAGATGAGAAAGGAGGTACATTGGTGGGAAACATGAGCAGGGGGATACGGAGGTGAGACATATGTGCAGGAGATACAGTGGTGGGACAGATGAGCAGGGGGTTACTAGTCCTATGAACTTCCTGATTTAAGCCATGTCTCTGCACTTCCTGTTTGCCAGATTATTGTGCCTTCTCCAGCCAATATCTTGTTCTGGTCTCTCCTGCTGCCATTTGTACCTTCACTGCCACTCGTTACCAACCTTTGGCTTGTTCCTCGACTACACTTCTGCCTGATCCCAACCTCCAAGCACTTGTTATTGACCTTTGGCTTGTTTG